AGGCTGGCTGCAATATGCAACGACATCATGAGTGAAAGTTTAATCTGTCTGGAGGGTCCCAACAGTGTCGAGCATACCTGTCACAGTCTATATTATGAGTGGACAAGATCAATTCAGGACTGGCTAATCTACCAGGCTTGAAGAGTTGGCCGAAATCAACTCCATCACACCACCATATTCGTCCATTAGAATTCCGTGTATAACTTCAAATCCTATTTACATTAGCATGCGGATCAGTCATGCTTCCGGTCACGGGGCAAACCTTGAAGCCCTCTCGCCAACGTTCACAGCGGGTTCAGCAGGAACTAGTGCCCGGTTGGCAAGTTAAGCTCGCGATGAACGCTCCGGGTGAGCTTTGACGACATGATGATCCGGGGCTGATCATCTGCACATCTCTAGAGATTTGGCGCTTGTTGTCGATCGTTGGGGCGCGGTAATGTCTCGGTGCCGGGAACAAGATGGAGGTCTGCTAGTCAAGCCTCAATTCCCCAGACTTTGTTTGGTTGCTCAGCAGAGCTGCCGCTTCCGGCAGCACAAACGGGTAGGCTAACACTCACCAGTGCGGCTGTGGAGTTATCATTGCGGGCCGGTTCACTTCACAAGAAGCTCAAGTAAGGTAGTATAATGCTTATTGAGATGAACCAGAGGTTCAGGTAGCTGTAACAATCTGAAGTGATTATAGGTCCTGAAGTTTTTTGGGAAATAGAAATAGAAAGTACTGAGCTACCCCACTCACTAACACTCCAGGCAATCACGATTCTAGGTGTGTCCGACAATGGAAGGACCTTCACCCAATGTTTCCATTGGCAGTCTTTGTGTGTCATTCTGAAAGAACTTGATTGGTGATACTCATCGGATCTTGTGAGTTGATCTTTGAGGCGATCTCTAGTTAGATGGCCGCTCTTGGTCTATTCAGATAAAGTGAAGATCATCATCAAAATAAGAGATGTGATACTCTCTTGTTACTTAAGTTTGGAGCGACATCAACGGCTGGCTCCTACTCTTACGGGGCATGGGGTCCGCATTCTTGGTCCAGACCTAGCCTGTATTATAACAGATACAGGTTCATATTTACTACTCGGAGCAGATATCTTCTATAGGCTAGTAGGAAGGCAGCATACCTCAAAATCAGATCATGTTTGTGGCAAAGAGTCCGCAAATATATTCCATCTGTTTGATTTTAATTTTTGGGTTGCTTCTTAGCAGGCTTAATAATCAACAGCCTTTTGAATCCAGGCAATCGCTACTATAAGACAAAGTATCCTTTTGATAACTCAAGATCTCATGTTGACTTCACCGATGTCACACACTTGAATTACGGCCCGCTCGCGTATCTGATGTCACTGCTTTTTGACACTTTTTCCGGTTCTTGTTTCCGGTGGCTTGTCTTAGCGCAGCCTCATGCCAGGGGTTTTTCGCATTCAATACCAGTGAAAAGTATCTCGTCTCCTTTCACGGCATCTTATTGGCCAGCATCAAGCTGAACTCGGTCAAATTAAGCGACTGAAAAATGACCGTTTCTGGGAAAAGCTTCGTAGATCTGTGCCCTAGAGCGGATGTGACAAGACCCTCTCAACGGTGATTGTCAAGCCTTACATGCCACCCCACCCACATTGGACTCTTTGTTATGACGATCAGGCACAATAAAAGGGGATTGCTAGGGTCTGGGTCCAGATTCGTTTTTAACAGGTCGTTTTCTCCAAGACACCAACGCCGTCCTAGGATTAGCTTGCAGAGCCTCAACCATCACAATAACCGCTCCCAACGTCATGTTCGAGACTCGATACTGGGATCGACATTATCAGATCATGTTTAAAGGTCTAATTAAACAACCCAAGGATAGCCCAATAAATCTCGAGAATGTAGATCCTCGTTCGTTTTGTGCCCTCCACAATGGATATCCGGCCTCCAGAGCAGGCGGAAGTTCCCGATAGCGGTAACCTCGTTCAAGCCAGCAACGCCCAATAAGATGGCTGGTCACGAATACCTAAATTCACATTCAATTTCAATTATCCGCCAAGTTCAATATGATGAGATCCGTTCTCTCGGATGTTGGGTTGCCGCGATTGTATCATGTGCCCGTTGTGACCGTTTAAGAGATTGGGAGAATGGGAGCTTGGAATTTAATGACGTATGACCAGATTCACCATCACAAGGCTCTTGAAGGAGGTATGTTAGAGGTTATCTTTACTTCTGCCTTGCCCCTATGTGACAGTCCAACTATAGACAAAGATTTTGACGCTCTAAAGAGCAGAGTCTTCATCTTAAGAGCCAAATGTCCTCAAAGGACTTCTGAAGACTTCATAGCTCTAGTATAACAGTGAATTCTTTGATCTGGTTTATAGTTCCATACTTATACTGTTTGCGTTCTGGTTGATTTGCACTACTCCTGCCATAGCTGGCTGCGAAGCTGATGTGTCGATCAAGACGATATATCCAAACCCATGGGAATAACCATGTCCCTCCATGATCCTATCTCCCGGAAATAAACGCTTTACCAATTTTAACAAAAGTGTGATTAAGTTTCCTCGTAAGCCAATCGCATTTGTCTTGCTGTTGGTGGCCCTGAATCACATTCCTTGACAAAGTGAACCTACCTGTGCAAAGAAGGATGACATCACAGAAATGAGAAACCAGGTTGGGAAAGCGTAAAAGGTTTATGACTATAGTCAAGAGTTACAAATAAACTGAAGACATGTTAGGATATTTCGGATGGGTTGAGTGAAGTCTTGGACTACCAGGTCTATTTATCATTTGGGGTCGGGAATTTTGGCGCTTAGATAGTAGGTAGTTAGATTCGTCGGGTGATAGCAGGTTTCAGAGTGTTGTTATTCCCATTATCGAGATCTTCCACGGGACTGTCAAGGTTAGGTTGATTCATCTACCGAGTGGGACCCAAGGGTCGGCTTTGCGTTGGCCGACGTCCACGTGACCGTCGTGCCCAACAGGGACAGCCCGTGGAATCAAGTTAGGTAGCCAATCATAAGGTGTTCATCTCATGCATACGGCAGATAAATACGTGATAATGCAAATAAACTTGATTGGCAACTTATCAAACTGAGGGCGAGCTGTAGCCATATTTGAACGAGAGGTGTTTCTTGTCCAGAATCTAAGACCAAACATGCTAATGGGCGTTGACTGCCTCGTGCCGGAGAAATTCGACATAGAAATTCGACATCAAGATGCCGAGCTTGTGAATAGGTAACTTCACTTTTAGGAAAGACCATATGGGCTTCTGGTGAGCCAATGGCTGGCCTTGTTACTCTTATGTCAAAGAGGCAGTCTGCAGGCCCGGAAGGTACTATTCTTGCCGTCGTCAACTTACTAGTTGGTTGCGGCTTTGCCTGAAAGGTTCATCCTGACACATCCTACAAAATCCAACTTCTGTCAAGGAGATTTGGCCATATTCCGCCTCCGGAGTCGAAAATATTTCTAGAATATGGAAGTGACAACGTCAGCTACCTCTGCTCTCCCGATCAACTCTTTTTCCGTTTCTTCAACACCAAGATCAAAAGTGAGTATGGATGCTGTTGGCACCGTGGGGTAGCTAACATGACCTAGCAGCACGACCAAAAAAGAAATAAAGTCTAGCTTTGCTTAGGCCTCAGGTATAATTACAAGTAGGTGTAGTCATTTCGTGCTGGTGGTAGTAAATACTAATATGTCTGCCTTAGAAATATACGCATGCCATAAATATTTCAAGCCTTTCTGAAGCTCTGTCTGGAGAGGCTGGTGAAGGAGTCTTTGAGGTCTACTAATTTGGTCGACCTCGAAAGAAAAGAACTCTGGTTAGGAGACCTCGGATCCTCGGTGGCCCATAGGGGACAATACGCAGCCGCCAGGATAACTGACTATTGGGCAGTGCTGATGATATGGTTGGATCTGGAGGGGGGGGCAGCGTGTTACCTGTCTCCTGAGATCTAAAGTGTTTTCCAAATTCTCTTCTTCTCTTCAACACGAATAGATCAAGGGGTAACTGCTCGACTCGCTCCCCCGCTCGACAACTCCTTTTTCGCACCGTTTTTAATCGCAAGAAAGCAAGTAGAGTGGGTTGGCTTGTTAGGCACAGGCTAATATTTTCTAGTGGCACGACGGTTCTAAGAAAACAAGTGGTCCTCGACCAGTAAAAAAAATCAAGTCCACGGATGCCAGAATGTGCTTACAAACATTCTGAAGATCATACTTGATGGAATAATGGCCGTACTCGACGTACGAATGGCTGGTAGACTCTAGATGGGATGGGTGTTGTTGAAGTGAAATGATGGTGTTAATGTAAGGATGCAAGGGCGCGAGTGCCGCGTGGTAATTTGAGGTGGTCCCCATGCGAGGAGGGAACAGATTTGGTCTACGGAGTGCTTGACTCTTGGGTTTGGGAAACAAATGCAAAGAACTAGGATCCCGAAGCTGAGTTCTGTAATCTCATCAGAGCGCACCGAAATACTGTACGAATTGGGGCACTTGTGGTGAGAAAACTAGGTAGGGGACAAATTTGAGTGGAAGCTAGATTTCGTCCATCCTGGAACGGATGATTCCCATGTAGACTAACAAGTATACAGACAAAGAAAACTCAGGACCTTGATCCTAAATAACAAAAGACTTAGGTCACTCAGTATAAGTTCAGGATAACTTTTACTGCATTTATTTTGTCGCTGCGCATCAAGGTTCAATGTTTTCCTGCTCCCCAATGGCAGATTAGCCACTTGTGTGGCAGGCCGGATCGGCCCTGCATCGAAGCCCCCGAGGCAAACAACACTCACAAGATTCGGAACCAATATAGCTTCTATCTTACTACAGAAAAAGGCTTGGATAAGATAAGGATATGTTTATAAATTTAGGATACCCTTAAGTAATTCGAGTATAGAGTTAAGTTTAGTATATCCTTAGGGGTATTAATATCAAGTGTATTGATTCTTGTCTTCCTGTCCTCATTGTTGCCTTGCCTATATCACATTTATTCGTCAATAGGTGTATGCGCTTGCGACGGGGGTTTAAAAGAGACTTCAGGCCCAAGGGCACAAAGGTAAAGAACACCAATAAACACATGCGGGCAATATACTCCTTGCTCTCACTGCTGTTGGGCGTATCAGCAGCCCATCGATCTGATGAGCAGCTTGAAGACCAAGGTAATCTTCAACATCGCTAGCGTGCTGCTTCAGCCTGTCGATATCGTCATGGTAATCTTGAATTGCCGGGAGCAGCTTGTTGATTGCTACTCCCTCGGATTTGAATGCCTCGGCCTGTTGTTGACTTGATACCTTAATGTTACTAAGTAACTCCGTCATTCGCTGGACATCGGCATTGGCTGCCCTGACAGCATCGATCTTCCCAGGTATATCGGCAGAAGTGTTCTGGTGCTCTGCCATGGTCTCTATGCACTTGATAAGACTGTTGCTCGTCGGCGCAGTTACTTCTTCGATTGCCTGGAGGATAAGACCTTTTATCTTCGTGGCCATTTCATCGGTGTTGCGACTCTTCAACTTCTCTTTCACTCAATGTTCGAATTTCTGGAATAACTCCTTCTGTTGAGGAAAACCTCTCTCCTGAATGAGTGGAACCAAGAAGGCTCCGCAGGGAGGTGCAAGAAATCATGCGAATGCTGGGTGATAAAATCTCCGGGCGCCATAGGTCGCTGCCCTCACAGCGCCAACTTTCTCATGCTGCCATTTTGATGCGGAAGGCAATTATATATATAATATGTAGTTTAGCTCTGGGTAGTTTGCGGGTAACTGGCGGACATGGTGCTCATTTTCGTGATCTAGGCCTGTGAAGCCCCAACGCTTCGTGAGAGAAGAGACATCTTCAATTGTGCCATGGGAGGCAGGAGACAAGATATAGGAAAGCTTAGGACTTGAATCATAAAATGACAAAAGCTTTATGTAAACTTAGGGTAAACTTAGGATATATTTATAAATTTTAGAACAGGCTTAGGTAACGTACCATAGATAGGTCTGATGTAAAGTGTCCGACCATGGTCGTTCTTATGGTATTGGCAGAAGGGTTAACGCGCTGGCGGCGACGAGCAGGAGTCTTTGGAACCTTTCTCTTCTCTCCTCGACCGTGGGGAGTGGTATCCTCACCGTCGATGGCCGTCTGAAAAAACTCGGTGCGGGTTTGGACCGCGGACTTCTTTCCCTTGCCCCCGGCCTTTCTCCCACGGTGCTGAGCACTTAGGCCGGTGTAAAGACATCGTGATCTTCGAGCGACAGGAGGCGAGCGATAACTTCATCTAGATGAATGTCAGCAGCCGGAAGATGAACGTGAAGGTAAAATTTAATAACTTACCAAGAGTATCAGGGTCCCAGGACGCCTTGATCTTGTCGACAGCTGCGTCACGGAACTTGCCCCCGTACTCGAGGGTTTTTTTGTCTTTGCGGACGTTGAGCGGATGACCTGTTTCGGCGACGAAAGCTCCGAATATGGTGAGGATGTCCTCATTCTCAATGAAAAAATCGGCGGCCCCATTCTCGATGAGGTTGGTGACATCTGAATCCCCGCTCTTTCGGCTGCTTGCGGAAGATCGCCTGCTGCGAGGCTCGACCTTGAGGTCCGCGACCATCTCCGTGAGCTCGGAGACTTGGTTCGAGAGCTTCATCTGTCAGTGGAGCCAGGGTAGAGGACAATAGTGAAACGAACATATTCTTGGTAATTGAGCAGCGCGATGAGCGCTGGGGATGCCGATGAGGGATTCTCGAAGGTCATCCAAGACCTTGTGGCGGGGGCATCGATCGAGGGGTCGGCGACCAGCTCGATGTCCTGCGACATTTCTGCATGATTACTGGTCCCCTTTAGATGTTCTGGGCCGCACGCGCGCTACACTGACGGAGTCAGCGAGTAATTCCTTGTCCAAAAGGTCCAGGTAAGGTTGGAGGGTCTTGAGGGGGTATTGGCCGGATGGTGTGAGAACGTAGGTGTTGAGGGAGCATAAAAGAAGGCAGAGGTGAGAATTGCAAAAATATATATTAAGTTATTTACCTCAGGCATTAATTCTCAGTTATTTTCTGGTACAAAAGCAATTGGGGTGTCAAGCAGCTGTGGCGAATGCCGACGAGATTTTGTCGACCTCAGTAAGATGCCTTGGGAGGGTACAATGTTGCTTGCCGTGTTTCCTCTGTATAAATCAGTTTCTCTTGCGCCTGCGGTACATTAGTACAAAGCTTCTTACCTTTAAAGCTGCGTTTCCTTCACCAAAGACGCTGGCAGGCTGGTCATGAACTTTTCTATGGCGCTTTGCTCGGTGTAGGTTGCACGGACGATCTCAGTTGCGCAATCGGCCTGGCAATAACCTGGTTAGCTGTTTAGGTTAGCTGTGGAGGTGTACTCTCTGGCTGGTTTGGCGATTTCAGGCCCTCAGGCACCTTGAAGTGCTTGTTTGTTTGGTTCAAGACTTCGTGTTAGGGGGTGAATGCTCGGATTCTGGTGTTTATACATGAACAGAAACGTTGGCAAATTTAATTCCTGCCTCTTATTCAAGCACTCCTGGGCTTGTTTACCTGGGGCACCAATCTTTCTTTCTTATAATATTTGGAACCGTCAATCACTGTCAATATCACTACCGGTGTCACTGACAGTGCCAGGTGAATCACTGCCTACCACCAACGACACCAGTGAATAAGGCACCTGAGCAAGCAAACCACCAAAAACCTGGCAACCTCCTCATCCTCCCGTCCACCATTTCTACATTACTCTCTTTTGACAATCTTGTAACTACCTCTCAAAGCGACTGATATTACATCGCTCCCTTGCTCAACAGGTGCTTTACCTAGACTTGGCCCACTATGGCAACTACTCAATCTACTGAGTTCCCGTCGCTCGACGATGTTCGCTTGCCCTCAACACCAGAAGACAAAGAGCTTCTCAAAGAGCTCAAGCTGGCTTGGGATCAGCATTCAGCTCATTGGGATAACGATACCAAGCACGAGTTCGTCGATCGCATCCTCAAAGGATACACGAAAGTCACAAATACGAACCAGGCTCAACCAAGTGCCCATCGACTCTGGAAAGCCGGCAACATTACCTTCGCTGTATAGATAATCTTACGGGTCACTTATGACGAAGGGAAACTCTCAAAGCCCAGAGAGTGGCTTCAACACAAATACGAGAACTTCGATCCGGAGTCTTGGGCGAGCCCTGTGTCCAAGATGCCAGCAAAGTCTCGAGGGACCAACGGTGGAAAATCGTCCTCCTCGAAGGGGAACATTGAGTTACATGGGAAGTTTCAGGAACCCAAGTCTTCTCAGTCGATTGAGGCTATGGAGATCTGTGAAGAAGAGAGCGATCATGACGACATCAAAGTCGACGGTACTTATAAAGACGACAACAACGACGGAGATGATCAAGATGAAGCAAATGTGAGCTACCTATAAGACAACCTCGAGATTCTTCTGACCAATTTAGCCCAAGCCAATTACCCGAAGTCGGTTCAGGGCGGCTAACGTTCCTGAGCCAGGTCGAGACCCATCACGAAAGCGTGGAACTTCTAATGCTTCTGTGAATCTCCTCCGCACAAAAGTGCAGAAGACAGACTCACCTAAAACTCCATTGTCGGCTGAAAACGGCCATCTACGTGAGTTCATGGGATTTGGAGTAAGAAATAGCATCTAATCTACTGATAGTTGAGCCTTCCGGTCCCTCAACGGTACCCACAGTCGACAACCAGGCTCGGGCTCGTCCTCTCGAGTGGAAAGCTAAGCTCCAGGACCTTAGGGTTTATGGGCGTGGTTTGAATCAAAATCGACTTGTACCCAACCGCCTGGCGTTTACTGGTGACCAGACCTCTTTACCGCCTAATCCGACAGCCGTCTCGTTCACGCAGGAGTCTTATGATCCAAACGGCTTCCGAAGAAGTCAAGAACCAAGTTTGCGCTCAAGTGCCCCTGGTCTTTCTCTCGAGAAGAGGGCAAATGATCAAATTCTTTCAGGAGATCCTAGAGATCGTATCCTGTATCGCGAGCACTCAACTCAAAGCGACCATGTGAGAGCCAAGTCTGGGCTGGTAGACCACCGTTCTGGGGAGTCTGCCACTTCAGCCCCAAATCTGCCGCAGTCACATGAGTGCAGAGGAAACACTCGCACGATGGCTCCCCGGGGCTCCTCTGACTCTTTTATGTTCTCCTTGAGCTCTTCTGGAAAGGAACAGCCGCAAACTGGAGAACTGCTTCCTCTTCGTCTAAGCCCCCGTGAGACTCTCAAAAGCCCTGAGGGTGTCTACACTCAGCAGCCATCTAGTCTTCAACAGCTACCTCGTGATGACCCTGATGAGCCATCATCGTTCCGTCGATTCAGAAGACAATACCATTCTGACCAGAAAGAGACCTGCGGTCGGATCGCGGACCAAGTAACAAAGAATGTCACGGGTATTGTTGTGCAGGCAGTTCATGATATGATTCAACCGCTGCGCAATTCTCTCGCTCAGTGTGTGGACACTCTAGCAAAGCACAATACCAACGCTGCAGGAGACCAAGTGAACCTAGCGACCCGAGACCTGAGAGACATGAAGCAGGTCCTCAACAGCCTTGTGGAAACAAGTCGAGTGCAGCTGGAAGCCTCCCAGAGGGAGGGAGCAACTATCCAGGAACTGCTTTTGCCAGCCATGACTGAACACCGGAAGGATATCGACAATCTTGTGCAACGCGCTATATCAATCGAGGAACGCACATCCGATGTCGAGGAGTACCTGGAGCTTCAGCTCGCCGACAAGGGTGGCGATTCCACCCGCAACGCTCCTCAGGACGAGCATCATACCTTTGGCAATCATGAGGACGCGGGAGGAGATTAAACGTCTTACATTCTGCCATGGCCTGGTTCAAATACTAGCAAGCATGCCGTTATCACATGGGGCTTTCGTTTCACATATCTCTCGCACGGTCCGAAGACGCCGTGTGGCAAGTACTTGTCCACTCACACTGTTTGTTCCGACTATTGCGAGCATTCCCATTGATCTTCGCACAAAGATCCCGCACTTGTTTGTTGTTTGCTTGTCGGTCTTCTGTTGTCTTGCACCTATTGCCCGCAAATCACATAAGATACCCTCGCTAGATGTTTGAGTCTATAGTTGTTGCCTTCAACAGTCAGGTTATTTCCATCCCCATTAAGTGAATGGGATGACATGGTGGCTTCTTTTGAGTCTTTGTATCGCAGAGTCAAACAGCGATGCTTGGTTGGGTATGGGTTGGTTGTCTGCTTTAGACGCTATGGTAGCTTTGGTCACAATACAATTTTAATTCAGAATATATAGTCATAGAAGAAGTGATGTAAGACCTAGTCATCTTCATACGAAATGGAGTTCAACGATTATAGAATGACAAGCAATGTATCAAGAGACAAAGCGCCAGATGCAAACCCCCAATGCAAAGGGACAGTTGTACCACACAACGCCCCTTCAAAAAGTGGTCCCTATCCTAAATTTACCTAAGCCTATCCTAAATTTTATAAGTCTATCCTAAAACTCCTCAAATCTATCCTAAGTCTTCTTCTGTCGTTTACGATAGACGTCCCAAGTTTTCTTGTCTCCTGCCTCCCCATGACAGCCCTACCAGATCTCCCACGCGGCTGGTCCCGTGGGGATCGAGATCTGGCCAATGAAGGCGCTATATTTAATTGGAGCCCCACATCTCAGATTCGTTTTTGAGGAAGGAGAACCCAGCCAATATCTCTGTTAGACCTCACAGGACGGCCTCAATACCACGAATACAACGATTTGAGCTATTAAATCAGGACAAAAAGATGATGATATCCACGAAAAAAGCAAAAGGAATCTCCGGTGCGGGGAGTCGAACCCCGCTCGCCGCGGCGCAATTAATTGCAGAACAATTGAAAACGCGGAATGATAACCGATACACCACACCGGATGTTTGGATGTTAGTCAGCGCTCAGTTTGAGACTTATACAGCCTGTCCCCAGCTCTGTTCACCCTGCTATGCCAAGTCCAGATCTCCAGCGTGAAGAAAGCCGTGAAGAATCGCGAGTAGATTGGGTCTCGTCTACATTCAAGAGTGTAGAGCCGGAGCCCGTCTGATGATGAAATATTGACAACGGCGGAATAACGAGCGCTGTGTAACAACCTGATGGTTTCTGATCTTCATCGCCAACTTGGGTGGATCCGGTGAGAATAGCTCGCTGTTTGTATTGTTGTTTTCAACACCAGTGACTTTCTGTGCGTGGATCGGAGACAAACACCCGAGAGGCACTTGTTTGCTTAGGAGGGAGATTTTGTAGAATGAAAGATCCTCGCGTAATGGAAGGAATCTCGAATACATTATCACCCTTCATCTGGCAAGTGCCACTGCAGCTGCATGTGAACTCGAGACGCCATGAGTGACATCTCACAAGCCACCACCACTCGGAGAATTATCTACACATCCTGGAAACCCTCCAACCTAGAGCCAATTCAACAATTACGATCCGTTAAATAAGAATTACGAAAATCTTAGCAAATGCCGACACCAAGTCTGGTCAATGGGCACGTGTGTTGACGTTTCCCCGCATTCTGATCATATCAGGTTACTCGCCATCCGAGGGTCCCGTGGTCAAAGTCAACGTCGACCAAACACAATCGTCTTGAATCAAATCAAGTCAAAAGAAGGCTTATCCAAGGAAATCAGTATGGTTTGTTCTTTTTCATTGAGCTTCGTCTATCTATCTTTCTTTCTCTATCATATTGCTCATCAATCTTTGAACGTATGCCAGATTATTTTCAACCTCCACCTCATCTCAGCCAAATGCCATAGCGAGAACTCTCATGAACGAGCATGTCCAGCTCTCTAAACCAGAAACCAACTTGGAACAATCAACGCTGACAGAAACAATTTTAGATTCCATAACCGACCCGACGCCGTAATGCTGCTTAAGCAACGGGCTTGATGACAGCGGGGGGAGTTCCCACGTGGTTGCGGTTGCGGAAGAACAGAACACCCTTACCAGCACCCTCGGCACCAGCACTGGGCTCAACCCACTGGCACATACGAGCGCTTCGGTACATGGCACGGATGAAGCCACGGGGACCATCCTGGACATCGGCGCGGTAGTGCTTGCCCATGACAGGCTTGATGGCCTCGGTGGCCTCGTCCGCGTTGTAGAAGGGGATGCTGCTGACGTAGTGGTGGAGGACATGAGTCTCGATGATGCCGTGGAGAAGGTGGCGGCCGATGAAGCCCATCTCACGATCAATGGTAGCAGCAGCACCACGGACGAAGTTCCACTCGTCGTTGGTGTAGTGGGGAAGGGTAGGGTCGGTGTGTTGGAGGAAAGTGATGGCAACTATTAAGGTCAGTATAAATTGCAATTGCAGGATGGAGAAAAAAGCTTACCGAGCCAGTGGTTAACCCAGAGGTAGGGAACAAAGTACCAGATGGCCATGTTGTAGAAACCGAACTTCTGGACGAGGAAGTACAGAGCAGTGCCCATCAGACCGATACCGATATCGCTCAGGACGATGAGCTTAGCATCATCGTTCTCGTACAGAGGGCTGCGGGGATCAAAGTGGTTGACACCACCGCCGAGGCCGTTATGCTTGCCCTTGCCGCGACCCTCACGTTGGCGCTCGTGGTAGTTGTGGCCGGTAACGTTGGTGAGGAGGTAGTTGGGCCAGCCAACGAGCTGCTGGAGGACGAGCATGAGGAGAGTGAAAGCGGGTGTCTCCTCAGTGAGATGGGCGAGCTCGTGGGCCATCTTTCCGAGACGAGTAGCCTGCTGCTCGCGGGTTCGGGGAACGAAGACCATGTCACGCTCCATGTTGCCAGTGGCCTTGTGGTGCTTTCGGTGGGAGATTTGCCAGCTGAAGTAGGGGACAAGGAGGGAAGAGTGAAGAACCCAGCCAGTAATGTCGTTGATGAGGCGAGAATCGGAGAAAGCACCGTGACCACACTCATGGGCAATGACCCAGAGACCGGTACCGAAGAGACCCTGAAGAACGGTGTATACGGCCCACAGACCAGCGCGGGCGGGGGTGGAGGGGATGTATTCGGGGGTCACGAAGTTGTACCAGATGCTGAAAGTGGTGGTCAGGAGGACAATGTCGCGGAGGATATATCCGTATCCCTTGAGGGCGGAGCGCTTGAAGCAGTGCTTGGGGATGGCATTGTAGATGTCCTTGATGGTAAAGTCGGGGACCTCGAACTGGTTGCCGTAGGTGTCGAGCATAACACCATACTCGGACTTGGGCTTGGCGATATCGACCTCGGACATGGACGAAAGCGATGTGGAAGAGGCCGAGTGGCGGGGAGAGTCTGAGGGAGAGACGGCGGCAGACTCAGAATCCGTCACAGTGGTTGATGTGACGGTGCGCCTAAGCGCAGGGTTCTGCTTGGGCAGAGCCGAAGTGGACGCCATTGTGAAGAAGAGACGTGGGGTTCACGGCCGACGATAGACAAAAGAGTCAAGAAGTCGAAGATGCCGAAGAAGAACTGTCGAAGGAAAAAGAGAAAGGGAGGTGAAAAGGAAAAAAGAGGTTTGAGACGGCCAAGGGGGGCTGAAGTTTTAAAGTGTGTCCCTTTCAACTGTAAAGGTAAAGGTACCTTTACTTTAATGCGTGGATGCTTGCTCGGCAAGCGTTTTGTTGGGGCGTGGAGCCTGGGAAAAGAGCAGGTACCTACTGTACTCACTGTACTGTACCTTTTAGCTGCTGCGGGCGGGACAACGGACAAGCAACCCAAAACCTCTGGCCTCTCAGCGCAGCGGCAACACAAAGCAGAAAATGCGGCGAGAGCGGGCAATACAGTACATACATACGAGGTGGAACGATAATGGAAATGAAACTGACAGGTCCATTCACTCCCTTTTGCTGCGCAGTCCGATACAGTTTACCGCTTTCCCTGTCTTTGGCAAAAGGATCGGCAATCTCAGAGGGAGGACAAGTAACATCCGGACACAGAGAAAGTTTACCCTGAATTACTTTATTTAATTACACCAAACTTAATGTTTTCACAGTAACTCAAATTGTTAACTGCAGTTTTTATCTACATCTGAATTTTTATATTCACTCAAACTTCCACTACGATACAATTGCTCCATGTAATCGCCGCTTCAAGGGAAGAATCTTGACCTCGACTCTTGAGTCGCGACCCAAAAAAATCCCTACCCCAGAAAAATACGCTAGAAAACAACGGGTCGTGCTTCTAACCCACCCCTGAAATGTGGCAATAGCTCCCGACGAGACAGTGACGGGGTGGCCGTCTGATGTGTGTCTTATGTCTCGGTCGTACAGCAGCTGAACAATTCGTGAGCCTGTGGTATCTCGTCTTTCACCTGCAAGTTGATGAGGCTTGCAGAAGGGCTTGGTATTTTCTGCGGAGGGGGCTGGCTGAACCCGCAATTAGTATTGTCACTATTGCAATTAAGCTTCTGGAGGACTGCTATCGGATAAATTGCCGTTCCCAATACAGCCCGCTGTTCTCGTTTGCTTCTGCTGTCGTTGATTCTACTCGCCGATATCTATCCGTAAAAGATACAGTAAGCTGCCGAGACCCGGCCCCGCTCCCCAACTTCGGCCGGCGGAGCTGTGGGCTTGAATAACCGCAGTGGCATGACTCTGGACAACAAAAGCTATCGCCTCCAAAAAAGTGTTTGGGTTTTTGCCATCGATGGATATGCAAGATGCTAGCTACAGTGCTTAATACCTGCCTATCATTGCCGCTGTCTTTTCAGCCTCTTACAGTAGTCTAGATCTTCACACCGCCTGAAGAATGGATCTGCCTCCGCTAACGGGACATGTCCGACTGTTACACGAAGGGTGGCTTAAATCTAGGTATCTGATACACAGAGCCCGTCATCTATTTGAGTGTTGGCAGTGTCTTATCACACATTTGACCCTTCATTGGTGACTGACGGTGTTCAAATAAAGCGTGTGACCTAGACGAGCCTCACGATTCATCATGTCCTTTCACACAATCGAATTGTTCGCCCCTCTCGAATCGGCTGCAAGCTTATGCGGGTCAAAGTGGACTCCAAGCTGGCTTAGGGCTGGAGATCATCGACATGTGAATCAATCCCCTTTGGGTGAACGGGGGGAACCGGGAGGGGACAACGTCGACGTCGACCACGTTCGAGGGGGGGGCACGCTTAGCGGCCCAGGCCAAGAGACAAGGTCCCCGATCGTGGCTGTCTCTGATTTTGTTGACGATGTGAATTGGATACGAGTCGATTGGTTACAAAAGGCGGGAGGAAAAGCTCAGACAGCGGGCAAGGGAGATAAATCTGGTCAAGCCCGGACCCCGGTTGCTGGTGGAGCTTTGATAGCAGTGATAGAGAGGTCTGGCAAGATAAAATCGCCTCTTAAAGGTACAGTATCGAGATCGTTGCAATCATGGTTGGCGGCCTCTTGATACGAATAACGAATTATCGCATAGATGGCTCAAGAGTTATGACTATCGACATGTGAAAATGTCGTTGTTGGAGGACCAACCGAGGTGAGAGGTCAGCTCGTGCTAAGATAACCTTAGTTGTACGGAACGGCTATCCGTCCATTGGGGATCAAGGTACAGAGTACTTGTGAATCTCAATTGGGGTCGGAAAATTGTGTCTGGTCAGGTTTCTGTACAGCTTCATTTGCATGTCGTAGGCCAAGATGTCATGTCTTGTGCACAAACCTGGGGAATATTGAAATGCGGCACAGCGAGAAAGTGCATTACCGGGAGTCGACCGGCTAACCTGATGTTCGCTTGACATGTTAAGCAGTGGCCAGGCCATTCAGGGGTCACTGGAATTCAAGCTTTTTTCTCGCCGTGAAACTCTACTGAATTATCCGGAGCATTTCTGTGTTTTCCTTTTGGTGGAGAAAACGGATGTTTTGATCCATTCTGGTAAGGAGCAGAAGTAGAAACCATGTCAATTGGTAGATTCTGGGAAATGTTCGAATTTTTTTCTCGTCTTCTGTTCTGTTGGGAATTTTGTTGAGTTCCATGGGCGGGACCCCTGGTCTTGGCATCACAGGTCCAGGGTTCAGAGGGTGGAGCCAAGTGGGGGGACTCCCGATACAGCACAGCACGACTGGATGGCAGTGGCGTAAACAGGGGAGAGCAAATAGCCAGTTGATTGCTTGTTTGACGTGCTTGATCATGTTTGAGAGGATGTCAAGATGGCAAGAGGAAGCATTGACGTTTGACCAATTTCCTTTTCCTGACAAGACTGAACCTTATGGTGCAGCGTAGTAGCGATCCAGAGAAGAAAGGAACAATTTTAGGTGTTTGTCCCTTGTCCCCAGGGTCCAAAAGCCCCACGTGTCGCTCGCTTGTTTCCCGTTTTTTGCGGCGGCTCTGTCAACCCCGCCTTGATATTCAGAGCCCAAGCAACATACTGATTGAGCAAACATCACTCTCAATGGTTGCTATGATCATTCTGCAAGCCATGTCTCAAGGCAAGGCCGATTTTACAATGCAAACTATTTAAACAAACTCACTCTCAAGTGAGAGAAGTAGCATCACCACTTTCCTTACAACATGTACAGAATAACTGTCTGGCCGTCATCAACATACTCTCCGAGAGCATCTTCCGGAGTCAGATCATGATGGTTCGATATCACGAATTTAGTTCGGTTCCTGTTTTCGTTTCAACCACCGGGATCATCAATTTTTCGCTGTCTGAATTTGTTGAATCGCTTCCCTGCTGTTCCCCTTCACCTGAGGTAGCTAAGAGAGACAAAAACCTAGGACCTCTATCCTAGGTGATGAAATGGTCAGGCAGCTCTGGCCTAAGCTCAGGAGGATCTCTACCAAGTTTATTTCGCATCTTCCTCCCAAGTCTCCTGATGTACTGTACAAATTCTCTCCCGCCAAGTCCAAAGCCAGGGTCCAAGAAGTCACCCATTGGTTGTTGTTGTTGTTCTCCCAAAATCATGAGGCCTAGAGACGGCGATTACTCTCATTTTGCCACTTCCAAAGTATTGATTGCTTCTGAATCTCTCAGTCAAGACCTGCGTCGAGGTCCTAACTCCTCGATTTTCTCAAGGAGTGTGCGGTTCTGTTCTGATCAATTGGTTCTGGCGTCGAGTCGACATCTCGTCGAACTCGACAGTATCCTCCCGGAACCCTCGTGGTGGGCAACGACGGCGGAATTCACCATCACCGTCCCAGCGGTCTGGGTATTGCGAGTCCCTACGCAAGTTGCTGCTGGGCCTGTTCTGTCGTTCTTGAGTCGAAGGCGAAGATGGTCGTCCTGGAGTTCGTGGCACTGGAGGCCTTCTGTTAAGCTGTTAGTATGCGGCATATGCCTCACTCCAAGTATACTCATACCTTAAGGGTGAGTATCTGTTCGAGGACTCATCTCGTGAAGGAACGTCCGAGGGGCTTCCTCTATTCAAGCGCGGCCGCTTTTGCTGATCATTTGGTCGGTTTCGGTCATCATAGATGGGCGTAATCCGAGGGGCAGTTTCAGTTCTTGGCAACTCACTCGAGTCTGGTAAGGGCCGTTTGTTGCCGTTTGTCGTTGGTGAGGAAACAGCACGAGACATAGGGCGTTGTGGCATTGAGGAAGCTGAAGTCGAATGTCCTCGTGGGCCATTTCGCAAAGCAGCCGGTTCTGTAGGTATGGCGGGCCCAGTGTGATGTTCGGAACTTGGTTCTCGACGATTTTGTCTTGCGCTATTGAGATGCTGTGAAAGTGCATTCTCTAAAACAGGTCGAAGCTCCCTGATCATCGATAGCACGGCCTCACTCTCCCTTGCCTGGGTATGACTCCGCTGACTTTCAGTAAATCCATCCTGAACACTTTTGACAGCGTTGTCATACTCGGTTAATGAGCTGTTGTGAGAAAGAAGCCTTGGTCGGACAGAGCTCTCTAGCTCATCTCTTCTGGTTTGCAACATGCTCGTGATCGACTTGTCGACGTGCTCTGATACCATCCATGACACTCTGTTCTCAATCATGGCCCAAACACCGTTCTCAAAATATCCGCGGTGCACTTGACAAAAACGTGTGACAAATACCGTATTCCACTTATCGACCAGAGTATCCAGCTCTGGCTGGGCGGGAGAAATTGGCGGCAGATTCCCCTCTCGGAGAAGAGTCCTTCGGGCGTAACACCATTGTTCAATGGACTCTTTCACTTGTTTCCAACCCTTGAATTTCGAGACTAATTCTCGCGATGAATTGTCGTTTAAGACTTTTTTCCAAAACGGTTCCTGGTCGTGGTGGCTTGCTGGGGGCAAGGAAAGATACTCATCCTTCATGGATAAGCATGTTTCTAATACCTTACATTTCTCAGATATGTTGAACCTTCTGGGTGGATCTTGAGGTGTTTGAGGCGCTGTAGAGTTGGACTGGTTACTGCTATTTCCATTCTACACAATGTCAGCGAGGGTAGATTTCTTGGACAATGATACAAACACTGTTCGGGCGCGATCTGACCTCTGCTTGAGGAAAGTCATTACTCGAGAACACCGGTAGGTGTGGTTGCGAATGCCCTCGGTTTGGTCGGGGACCTGTTGATAAAGAGGAGGGTGTGAAAGGGTTTCGGGTTCTGGCTGCAGCGCCCGCCTTGCTTGATGAGGCTTCCGATCCTGTTCCCAAGGGCGTCGTGTTAGCTCCGGTACATGTGGCTCTGTTGCCCATGTTTGTCTCATTTGATGCATTGCTCGAGGGCATCATTTTGACAGGTGATTCGCTCAAGTCGATTATGTCACTCCTCGCAGGTACTTTTCCTTTGGGGCTTCTATGTGTTGAATGACGCCGTGAGTTCATTGCTGCAGGCGGCGAAGCTGTGTTACAAAAAGAAGTGATATGCGTGAGGTGAGCAGGTAAGGTTGGTAGCTTTGGTGAGGGCGAGATGGCTAGCAGTGCCGAATATCTGCAGAAAATGGCCCGCTGACTGCACAGCCAAACAAACATTCATTGCTCGCCCAGCCACAACAACAGCTCAGAGATGTATTTGTAGAAATTTAGTCAAGTTATGTATGCCATCATCTCTTTTTCTCGTCTCCTAGGTACGTAAAGGCTCGGCTCACGTTTGCAAAGAAGCATTAGTCTATAAAATATTGCTTGCAGCAACTCTTGATATCTAGAACTCCTGTAATATTACAGCAATGCGCAACGCATCTGTACCAATAGCGACTTCTTATCTTCTCATCATCGTATGCTTTCCCTCGCATCTATATGAGCAAGTGGTTCTTCCCAAACATTTATACTACAAAGTTCAAAGCTACCAGTCAATCCTCTTGTGCTCCTCTACCTTGAGGCTGCCGCTACCGCTGACTTTCAGAAAATATCTCCAAGCATCGTGATCAAATCCTTGAAAAGCTTGCAGCAAACTTATGAGCAACAAAGTAAAGGTGAAATGTAACTGAGATCAAAACTCAGCGGCCATGTTTAACATCTAAGTTGGATAGTGAAGTCGGAATGATGGTGTGACGGGTGAAGAGATGCAATCGGGATCAAACCCCAAAGATACGGTTCCGCATCCAAATTGGATCGTGAGTTCTGAGTAATACTTTTGCGTATAACTTCTGATCACTTACTACCTCTATCCTTGTCGTCGGCGCATCTCCCGAAGCGCTGTGTACAGCATTGACTCCCGAGCACTAGGCGTCATGGCCTGAAACTCGGCGGTCTCTTCCCTAAACCTTTCCTCTGGAGAAGGACGACAAGAGACACTTTTCTTAAAATGAAATGGGGTATTGGCCTGTCGTGCCACATCAGGGGTCACAAAGAGGCCAGGGGACATTCCTGTCATCTCTTCAGGTTTGGGAGCTGCAGTATCATCGGTAGCAGGCTCCCCGAGCTCAGGGGAAACCTTACTCTGGGCTCTACTTCTGTCCTTTCGGGCACTCTTAATATTGTTCACTCGTACTGCAGGGCTCGAGGAGTTAGGAGGTTGTTGAGTTGTGGCGGAAGATGCTCGGCCAATACTCGAGCTAAAAATGTCCTCGAGAGACGGAAGCTCAGAGGAGCAAGCTGTGGATGCCGGACTGTAGTTGGCTTTACTGAACTTTTGTCTTTTTCTTCCCGCAGGTGTCGGAGTGCCTACAGCACCCAGCCTTTGGTCCATGGACTTGCTTCTGATCGCAAGAGCAGGTTCTACTGAATCCGATGCTTTTCGTTTTCTCGGGGCCACTTTTCGGTCTTCTTCGTCCACAGAACGAAGGACAGCGGCCGCTGTCTCGGTCTCGACTTTGGCGGTTACGATGGTGTCCCGGTATCTCTGCTCATAGCGACGGAGCTGTCTCATGACCCGTGGAGTAACGATCGGCGTGCGAGGCTCAATAGAATCGATCACCGATCCTCTATACTGGCGATCAGGTGAGTCAGGATCTTTGTACGTATCGTCGTCCCTTTCGTCGGCATAAAACTCCTCGAAGTCATCGAAGTCATCGTCATCTTCATCGATATCTTCACTCTCTTCAGAGTCGTGTTCAAGCTTCGTCTGGGCCTCATCATTAATATCATCCTCTTGCTGGGTTTCTTGAATTTTGTGATCAACGTCATGATCAGCCACTTCATGATTCTCATGAGCGCTCTCAGACTCATCGTTTGCCTCGTCATGATCAGTGTCATTAGTCTGATCATGTTTAACACCAGCCCCAGGACGACCTTCTTGCTTATCAACCACACCCTCGATCTGATCCCGCAAGCGCTCCTCTAGACCTGGTAGAAGGTCCAGTGCCATAGACATGACAGCCTCTGTATTTCGTATCTCCTTAGAATTCTTTCCAGCAGCCTCTGTACGATTCATGAGATACCTCAAATACACTCTGTATGATTCTGGAGAGCTGTTGGCCTTCAAAAGGGGCGGCCGGGTGAGAGCCTCGAGGGCCTGTAGCCTTTCCTGAAGTTTGTCCTCGGCCCAGCGGAGAATCCTGGACTCTGCGACCTCCATCAGCTCTTTTTTAACAGTGGGCCAAATAGAGCCTTCAAAGTCGAACTTGTTTGTTCCTTTCTCGCTCTGTGAATTGCTTTCATGGCTGGCCTGAGAGTTGTGAGTGTCATCTGAAGGGGAACCGTTTTGACTTTGCTCGGCAGCTTTTCTCCATCCTGCTGCCTCCAAGAGGCCTTGGTTTGCAGAGCAAAACTTTTTCGCGTATAAACCGTTCCATTGATCTAGGAGTGCATCAAGCTCAGAGTCCGACGTTGCGGGCTCATCCTGCGCAAGCTGGAATCTTCGTGGTTCGCACCACTTTTCCACACACCCTTTCACGACTTTCCACTTGTCTCGACGTAACTCTTTCCCTCTTATTCTGGGTGAAAATCTCACTTTAGACCCAACAGTCTCCTAAAACTGTTGGGCCTCCCCATCCGAGTGAAGATACAAGTCTTTGTTCTTCAGGCAAGCCTTCAGAAGTGCCTTCTGTTCGGCCTTCTTATAGCAGCCTAGATCTATCTTGATTTTTGATGTCTGTTTCTCATCAGATGACTGGCGTTGCTTTTCGTCGGTAGCCATTCGCCCAGAAGTACCAGGAGGAGGCATAGCTACAGGGCGATAACCAGCTGGTTGCAGATCTCCTCGTCTAGCCTGAGGCCTGTTTAGATCAAACTAGAGTTGTCAGCATACATCCATGCCAGCCTATGTATATACATATTAATACTTACAACGTTTCTTCCATCCATGTTTAGGGTCGGCAGAAGACGCTGGCTAGTTACAAGAGATTGATGTAGAGCTGAGTTGGAAGGCTGTGTCTGTGTTTCCGGAAGAGAATCCAAAGCCTGAGCGTGACTATTTCCAACTTGACTTGTGTCCTTGGCTTGCATGCTGTCAAACGCTTTAGGTGCTTGATATGGCATACCGTATCCACGTCTCAAAGACGGCTCACGAAACTGGCCCGGAGGAAGTTTAGACAGCCGATTGTCGTGGTGACCGGTCCCGGCGTCCTTTATATCGTAACTTGCATCTCGTATATTGCTCCTGATATTACCAGGAGTTTCCATCAACGGTTCGGCATGTGCATCGTTCGAGTTGTGAGTATTGAGGCCTGATGTTGAAGTGGCTGGCTTTTTGTTTCCGTTCATCCACGAAAGATGAGGTGCAAGAACTGACACGTCACTATCTTCTCGCGAATTGTGAGCTTGAGATGCATCGAGATCTGGGAATAATGGAGCCTCAAAGCTCGCAGAATCCTCGCGGGAATGTTTCTTCTTCTTGGAGGAACTCATGATTGGAAAGGAGTCAAAGAAGCTTGGTAGAGAGCATAGGATGCTAAAGCATGTGGAGAAAGAAAGATGCAAGCAAAAGGCGGGTTGAAATAGAGAAGTGGAAGCCCAGGTTGTGAATCTCAGTTGGCGAAGGAAGAGATTTAAGAAGAAAGAATTGAGATACTTGAGGCAGTGGAGAGTGGAAGAGGTTGTGGGTATCAGAGCTCGCGGTGCGAGGCAACTGGCGGCGCAGGGCATGCAGCCAAAGAGCCCAGAAGATAGCGGGCCTAATTCAGAGCAATTAAATTACCCAGTAAATGCAAGTTAAGATAGGTGTTTTCAGTCATATGCTCATGAGAAATAGTATACCATGAGCATGTGTGAAAGTCTTGACAACGAACGCCCGCCTCGAGTACCAAGACTTGAGGAACTCGTGTGAGTATTGAGGATCTCAACTTCTGTCATTTTCTTATTTATACAGGTGATTTTATTGCGTCTCCAAGGTCTAGGGAGAGTAAGCCGCGGTCTGCACTTTATACTCTTCCCACAATCAATCATGTTATCTGAACAGTCGAGGCTTAGAGTGAGCATTATATTGGCATGGACGGCAAGCTACAAGGCCAATACAATACAAGAAGAGTTAATACCTCTCTCTAAAAGATCGACCTAGTTGCTGGCCAGCTTTTCTTTAGTGTGTGACACGCAAAAAGGCTGTATCTGACGTGTACCCCTCATGGTTCATCCTCAACATCACTGAACATCAACTCAGTACTTATGTGTCTGCAATGAGAAACTATCTTTTCATCTATGTCAAATTCTACTACTAGCCGATGATCATGCTTCAATTGTTTTTCTTTTATCCCCTGTCAAAATTAACCCACAACTACTCCATACAATGGCATCCCCTGGCCAAGTCGAAGAACCCTCGAAGGCTCAACCACATGACACCGGAGACAACCTCTTCCATATTTCCTTTAATTCAACGCTTCGTAACAGCATCACAAACAAGACAACGCCAAACCCACACAATCACCAAGGTACCAGCGTGCCCTCTGAATCGATAACCTGCTGCAGACGCTGCGGCATGAAGTCAACCCACATATTGACTCTCTCCATGTCGAACCCTGCCCACACATCCTTGACCATCTTCTGGAGTGTCTCGTCCTCCCAGTCCTTGGGGGCATCCAGATTCCACTGCTTGCGACTGGGCCAAAGGCTGTCGAGCGGGTTGAGGTCGGGGCTATCGCCGCAGTTGTAGTAGTATCGTAGGCCGTGCTCATCCTTCCATTGCTGAACCAGATTAACCTTGCTTGCAGCGCCGTGAGCGAAAGCCTCGCAGTCTTCTTCGAGAATGAAGCTCTGGGCGCCAGTGGCTGTGAGCCATGGCTTGACCGTCTTCTCGAGGATGTGGTCCTTGTACTCTTGCATGGTCATGACGCCAGTGCAGTTCGGGCTGGTGGAATCTTCGTAAAAGACAGCTTCACTCTTGAACCCGTAACCTACAGCAACCCAAGCGTGGGCCTTTCGCAAGTCGCGTGGCCACTCAGCCTCGGGAGTGGTTGCGCATGTCTCGCAGAAACGTTCACCAGGTCGGGGAATAAGACGCATCTTTCCATCAAGGCCAAACCCAAAGTGGAGCTCGATACTGAACCGGATAGCTCTCCAGTCCTGTGGATGAGGGTACGCTTCAAGCATGCGTCTGGCGTATTCGACTCTCTTCTCGCGAGCCTTCTTGTGCACCCAGATCCTCGGACATCCCAGGCATCGTCGGTAGCCCAGCGTTCCCATTGTTCTGTGCAGAGTCCTGGGGTTCACGTCAACCTCAACACCAGCTTCCTTGGCCAGTCCATGCCAGTTCAAGTTAACATTGATGTAGGCGTCATTCCAGAGAATCTTCTCCATCTTCTGCTGGTCTTCCTCGGAGATCTTGAGGGGTCTCCCACGCGTTTCCTCCCATTCGGGATCATTGCGCTTAGACGCGGGGACGCTCAACGCGGCATAACCTTGAGATCGCGACAGATCAAAGTGCCGAAAGATGGCTGACTTGTTGACGGGCAGGCCCTGAGACTCGAGGTACGAGATGGTGCCTCGAACCATGGCCTTCTTTGGCGTGTCGCCATGCTTATATCCGGACGGCATACTGAGGGTCGCGTTGCCCGTTCGCTATAGAGGGGTTCTTGCGGTGTAAGTGGGTGGAGAGAATGATTGGGACGGTGGTGTTTGGATGTTTTTGTCTGCTCTCATTCTTCGCGCGGGAAGTGGTGAGGGGTCAAAAGTTGGCGGTGATCACGTGGCTTGGCTTGTTTCACCAACCACGTAAGTTCTGCTTTCATCGTCAATGGCGTTCGATGAAGCAAGTACATTAAAATCAGTGCTTGGTACGGCGTAATACGTGTAGATACACATGTCAATTCATTTCATGTACGGTTTGCATGCACAAAGACGTTGTTGGAACAGATCTTTTTTTCATCTTGTCTCATGATGTGCGTAAAGGTGGTTTATCTTAAACCAAAGCTCAAGTGAACGGTAACAACGCTTCGTAATAAGACACACAGTCAAGGTCATAAAGAGTTTACAATTTGATTAAACAAACAATTTAATAATGGCTTCACCTCTTTATTCCCACGCTCGACCGAATGATCAGTTCATGTGCATGGTAAATTGTTTTACTGCACGAGGCTGAGAGGCCTGTCAAAAGGTTTACCCTGTACCGAACAGATCTAACAATCCTAGACTCAACAAGTCAAAGACAAACACGCCAAAGTGGGCGTGATATGACTGAGTGACTTGTTGTCAAATCACTTCAGTTTGATTCGGTCTTGCCATCACGCGTGTTTCTTGTACGAAGTGATTGTTAATTCATGGCCAATTATTACGGTTACAACGGATTCACAACACATCACGAACATTTCTATGCTCCATCCTATTGTGTTTGGCGTCTCCAACATCAAGGGCAAGATGCACAAAGACAGTACGAATGATCATCAAATATGTTTGATTCAAAATCTCGTCATCCAACCGTGGATGACGGTAAATTACGAAGATAAAACCGCTCTATAGTCTCACGAGACCTTTCATAAGCATGCCTTCTACGTCCAACCAAAATACCCGCCACATTCCATGTAGTAAACGCCGTGAAATGGAGCAGATATGTTCCACCATCTATCCCAAATGTACAGCTTGATTCTCAAGCCCCAGGAGCCTTTTCCAAACGGGTGGCCCGATCAAACGCCTTAAGCTTTTCCTGCCTCACGGACTGACATCATAAATTTGTCCTCGGCACCCACCTCTCCGGCGACTCTGGCCGAGGAGACCTTGGCGTTTCTTCCATCAAGAATGGTCTTGACCTCGTCGGCGGTCTTAGCGCCGAGAAGCGTCATCTCCCTGCTAAGAAGAAGTGCAACAGCAGCTCGAATTAGGAGTGCATCTCCTTCAAAGACGTATACGTCCCAGAGACGGGCTGCTTCATCTATCGCCAAGTGTTGTGTGAAAATGGCTGTCAAAATTCCTGAAAAAGATCGCTCCAGTTCGGCAGTAGGGATCTTCTTGGTGAGGTGCGCGTGAAGAGGGGCAGACTTGAGAGAAAGTGTCTGCATGATGAGGTTGAATGCGGACGCTTGTGCACCCGGATCTCCAGTGTAAAAAGATAGAGGTAGTGGGCGATTGAGGACATTGGCGAGTGCGACGAATGCAGACGCGGCATCGGGCAAGTTGAGGAGTAGCAATGCAGCGATTGTCTGACGGACTTGGTTAGCAACTCAGGTGGCACAAGGTGGCTGTTGGACTTACGTTACAACCACGGACATAGCCAATGTCACTCCTGTACATGGCATATGCACTCAACACATCAACAAGGCTCTGGTGCAGTGGTCCCTCGACGTCAAAAATCCGTAAATCCTCCCATGTCTTCTGTGCAGCGTCCCTTCGGATTTCCTGGAACCATCTTGCCCTCCTAGCGTCCTCCGCATCGCCCTTATCGTCCTTAACTCTGGCTTCAATCTCTTGAGCCCTAGCAAGTGCTGCTTTGAAGGATGTTTCTGACAGTCCTAGTTCATTACCGATTGCTCGACCCCAGATCTGGGCGCGGCTTCGGGGTGCGATTCCCTTCCACCACAGTTCCCTTGTCCTACGCTCGCGAATAGCATCGCTCCAACGTGGGATCACGTCCCTCTCCCAAATTTGCATCAGGTTGTCAGCTGTGCTGTCCCGTCCTTCGATCTTGGCCTTGCGTGAGGCTTCGCGTCGCTCCTCAGCCTTGGCACTTGCTGCCATCATCTTTTGATATTCCTTCAGATGTCGGCGTTCCTCGGCGGGATCCTTGGGTGGTAGCCATGAGGGTCGAGTCCGGCTGAGAACAGCCTCCTTCTCCTTTGAAACGGGAAGAGGGTCGATCATAATATTCGTCTTCCGAAGAGGCGGCAGTTCGGGAGTTGATTTGACACGCTGCTTCTTGTCAAATGTGTCGACAGATCGTCGAGTAGCGTTCCAGGTGTTGGGGCGCTGATTCGCGGGGCGTTTGGCTTGTTGTTCCTCCATTTCGTTGGCGTGCTCCTCGAGCTTCTCCGTCAACGTCTTGGCCTCGGCATTCAATTCCGCTAACGCAGCGTTCCAACTGTGTGCCCGTTGCTTGGCAGGGCTGCGAGGGTTGTCATCGGTTTTCCAAGTTGGCGATCGAAGAGAGCCTTGTGCTTGCGCGACTGCGGGTGTTCCATTACCGACACTTCGCACTCGTTCTTTGGATCGATTGGGGGATGGAGAAACAGAGGATGGCCGGCTGGGCGTGCGCTCTTGCATGGGCCGGGGAGAGAGTGGCACATTGTCCAGAAACATGCCATCGGGGATATCATCGCCATCGTCTTCATCACATTCTCGCTCAAGGTCGGTAAAAGACTTGCGATCGCGGCCGGCCTGCCAGCTGCCTCGACGGGGTTTTTGGGGAAAACTTGGGTCTCTCGGATCCCTCGGGTTGAGCGAATAGGCAGGGCTTGGGCTTCGCCGTCGAGGAAATGGAAGAGAAGCCG